AAATACCTTTAACAATTGCACTTTCAATTGTATTTGCATAGTAAATTCAATTTAATTGTTTGCATACATAGTATAGTTGCCCGAATTATGAGGAATTTTGGCCAAATGTTGCATTTTTGCCGAATATAATTGACCCGAGTATTGTGCAAAATTTGAATATTCGTCAATAACAGTCAGTTGCTGCGCCATTATCATATGAGTTTGTCAGATAATATTTTTTATTAAATGTTTAACATATATTTATCATCTAAAACTTAGTTATATTGTAGCTATATAATAGCTGCATAATAATTATATGACAAACATATTTAGCAAATTTAAAGGTTTCTGCTAAGTTCGATATAATCATTAGAACTAATATCATTTTTATTAGACATACCCACGTCTAGTCACCAAACGACTTCTAAATTCTTAATTTTCTTGATTTGAAAATAAAAAGAATGAAGTTTGACTTATTTATATCATTGATTGATTTAATAAATATGTTTTTTTTTTGTTAAGGCAAAAATTCCGATTCCCAACCAAAATTATGTAAACTTCTTTTTTTTTTAAGTTTGAAATAATGGTTATGTGCAAGTATGCTAAAAATTTGAATCACCCCACAAAAAAAAAAAAAAAAGCTACCGAATCTACACACGCACACAAAAAATCTAGTAATTTATAATTCAAGAATCACAAATTAACTTATCAAAATTTACCAATTCCTTTCTGTAAATAAAAATTTCGTTATTGACTACAAATAACTGTTTTAGGTTTTTCTTTAAAAAAAAAAAAGAAAGAAAGAAAGAAATGCGTATTACCGAAGTAAGGACTCCAACTAAACTTTTTGTAACAAACCCGATAAAAGTGTCAACCTCTCCAACAACTCGTCCAAAAGTTGCAATATCTTGTAATCTTCGGTCTAAAAATTGAAATGTACCGGCATAATCTGGAGATGTGTCTTGTGTCATATATAATTCTAATTTTAATTTAATAAATGCGAATTAAATTGGTTGTAAGAAATAGATTATATAATTATCCAAACGATTCTTACCTGTAGAAGAATAAATAACTGCAAGACTTCCTCTTTTAGTATACCAGTTCATCTAACCGTAATAAATAATGTTAATATTATACATATATATGATATCCAAAATATTACGGACACGTCTATTCATAGTGCGAATGTTAATTTTACATCATAACTTATGACATTATAATTGTTTACGCACAGTAGATGCAAAGTATAATGTAAATCTGTTGATTGCAAACCGTATAGCATATTAAAAAGTACGCCGTAATATTTTGAATTCCCCATACATTATAAGATTACTAACATCTGCGCTCTTGTCACCAGCCAAATACCACATATCATCCACTAACTTTGCAAGATGTTCAACTGATATTTGGGCATTATTAGGTTGTGCCATCATTGCAAGCGCCTAAATTAAAATTTATATTATTTAAGTATAGAACTTTTGAGATTTAAAAGTAACTAATTAAATAATCTGTAATTTATTTTACCTCTGACCATTTTTTTGCATATGGTTTAGTATAATTGAGTCGAGTTACGCATGCTAATCGAATCTTCTGATGAATTTTTAATCTTTACATATATTTCACAAAATTTTCGTTACCGTTAATCATCAAACCAATATTAATTCATTCAATATATTGTAAAATAAAAATAATAAAAATAATAAAATAAAATAAAATGAAATAAATAAATAATAACACACCCGTCCATTTTATCAATTAATTCATTAACCATCTTCCTACGACTATCCTCTAAAAACCACTCAATTAATTCAATTCCACCTCGAGGAAATAATCCATGAGAAACTGAAGGATACCCAAGTGAGTTTGCTCCGTGTGATAACGATTCAACTGACCATCCGTATCTTGGAACAAATGGAAGTGACGCACGAAGAATCTCTGAAGGAATTAGATTTGGTGGGATACTTATTTTGGGTTAAGAAAAAGTTTGATAAATATTTCTTATCCTTAAAAAAACATGAGTGCCACCAAGGGAAAACCTGTCATCGAATTTTCAATTTATTATTGAAGGTCTGATGACAAGTTTTCCCTTGGCGGCACTCATATGTAGTATATAACGTTTTTATTTCTCATGAAAAATTTTTTCTAGTACTCACCGAGACGTCTCCTTTTGATCACTATTTTCTATGTTAGAATTTATTGATTTGCTAATTACGCTGTAACTTATACTTCGATGAGGCCGCAAATTAAGCAAATTTGGATTTATTATGTTCTTGGTTTGAATTCTTCGAAACATTTTTTTTGAAGAACGACTCAGCAAACCTTCCATCCTTTCTCGTTATGAATATCAGAACTTCAATGATCAGAAGGCAGCCTATTCATGGCACGAAAAGCGTCAGCCAAATTTCGCCAAAATTTTGGTTTTTTTTACCATTTTCGAGTTACACAGAGATCTTGCCGATTACTGTATTTTTAAACTAATCGTCCTATAAGGTAACTTTCTCGTGACCTGCAGTACAATCAAGAATTTAAAAAAATTTTTTTTTAAACAAAATATTTTTTAAGCATTTTTTTAACAAGCATATTAATATATATAATAATAAATCTATAATATAATTTTTCAGTTTCCTTCATCATTTAGCATTCGCACCAATCACCAAACTGTTATCATCCATCATTCGCCACCAACCTGTAGATCAAATCATCAATCGTATTTCAATACGTATTTTGAATATGGTTAGTTCAAAGGAATGATCGCCTTTTTTTTTTGATCAGTTCGAAAACTTGAAAGATTATCGATAGAATATTCCAATACTACAATTTTTCAGTCCGATTTATCAACCTGTGTCATTCGTCAATAGCACTGCCACTTTCTTTTTGCATTTAACCAAACATAATCTTCATTTCTAGCATTGATCATCTTCACTCAAATTTATGAAATTTATTACTGTTTCTATCCATTACCATAATACCGCGTACTTGGTAAATTTATCCTAATGACCATTTTTTGAAAAACGTGCAATCTGTTAAAATCTATTCTTACAAACTGTATGTATACGTACATACATACGTATGAGTCCATATCATTTCTTTTCTCTACCATTATTTCCCTGACATTCATTTGCCTGGAATGGTGAATAACAGAAGTTTTTATGATAACTCATAATAGAGTTCACGATAACTTCAATGCAGATAAACTCAACATTAACCACATGCTGTTGTTAGACTTTTTGACAATAACTTGCGATAATTCAATACAAATTAGCTCAATCATAACTACTGCAAGTAAGTTCTGTGACAGAGTAACTCAATAGAAATCAAAATAATTCCAATGCAAACTAACGCAACCTTAACTACATAATGTGTTTTACTAAATTAGCATATTATCAACAGAGTTTTTTACAGCATGATAAAATCAAAATAAACTATGTCATTAGAATAGCAAGTTCTGTAGTGGAAATTTTTTACAGCAACTCATGATACACGTAGAAATCACAATAATTCCAATACAAACCAACTAAACCTTAACCACATACAGTCAACTCTCTCTATGCGCAGCTCCTCTAAGTGCAACTTCTCTTTAAATTCAACTTTAACTTCGAGCCCAAGTATATGTTTGGTATACTATAAATGTAATTTTTCTTAATTGTTCTCTAAATTCATGTTGCTAAAAGTCCGATCCAATGAATTGCGCTTAGAGAGAGTTGGACACACCAAAACACAGGCAAACTTCTGTAATTGCACCCCTTGGAGCTATAGGATAAAATGTTTATTTATGGAGGGTGTACATTTATAAAGTGAATTTTTACTATGTTTCTATGTACTTAGGACCATACCAGAGCGTTCATTTAGAGTGAATTTACATAGTGGGTGCATTTATGAAGGGTGCAATTATAGAGGTCTGACTGTAGTAGGTTCTGTAACAATTTTTTATAGTATAAATCATGATAATTCTAATACAAACTAACTCAACCTCATACTGTGTGTCACTGGAAGCTTTAACAGAATTTTTTACATTAACTTATGATAGAAATTGCGATAATTTTATTACCAAAAAAATTAAGTCAAAGAAAATCAATTACCAAAAATAAATGCCAATACAACTAAAATTTACCAGAAAAGTTATTTAGAGTAACACCAAGCGTTAACTAACTAATAACTAATAATAAATAAATAATAAATAAATCACTGATTGGATGGCTTAAAAAATGTAAAAAAGTATTGATTTGAATAATTGATTGTAATTGTTGTTTCAGTAAAAGTTAAATATTTCTTCTTACTCATTAATACTAGTTCTCTCTGAATAAAAAAAACACTTCAGAAGCTCTTTTTTCAGTAGTTTTTCTTGAATTGTTTCATCACAAACTGAAATAAATATACATGAGAGGACAGTCAAGTGGGAACTAAAATTTTAGCTTTGTTTTTTATTATTTATCTTTTTTTCTTGTTTTTTTTTTTAAAAAAAAATTGTTTTTTATTTTTTATTTTAATTAGCCGGGACCATAAAAAGCCACGGGTTTAAACTTTTAATTTAATTTATTTTGATT